AGAGAGAGAGAGAGAGAGTGTGTGAGTGTGTGTGAGTGTGTGTGTGTGTGTGTATGTGTGTGTGTGTGTGTATGTGTGTGTGTGTGTGTATGTGTGTGTTTGTGCGTGTGTGTGAGTGCAAGTTTGTGTGTGTGTGTGTGTCTGTGTGTGTGTGTGTGTATGTGTGTGTTTGTGCGTGTGTGTGAGTGCAAGTTTGTGTGTGTGTGTGTGTCTGTGTGTGTGTGTGTGTATGTGTGTGTTTGTGCGTGTGTGTGAGTGCAAGTTTGTGTGTGTGTGTAAGTGTAAGTTTGTGTGTGTGTGTGTGTATGTGTGTGTTTGTGCGTGTGTGTGAGTGCAAGTTTGTGTGTGTGTGTGTGTATGTGTGTGTGTGTGTGTCTGTGTGTGTGTGTGTGTATGTGTGTGTTTGTGCGTGTGTGTGAGTGCAAGTTTGTGTGTGTGTGTAAGTGTAAGTTTGTGTGTGTGTGTGTGTTTGTGTGTGTGTGTGTGTCTGTGTGTGTGTGTGTGTCTGTGTGTGTGTGTGTGTATGTGTGTGTGTGTGTGTATGTGTGTGTTTGTGCGTGTGTGTGAGTGCAAGTTTGTGTGTGTGTGTAAGTGTAAGTTTGTGTGTGTGTGTGTGTGTGTGTGTGTGTCAGTCACATAACATCCCTTCAAATAATGGCACCATTTTATCCCTCACAAGAGATTTCATATGAAACCCATACATATTTTGACCAACATCCAAATAAAATATTACCTCTGCAATCTTCCTTGCATTATAAATGCAAATAAAAATGTATTTTACATCAAAATACACTTTAATACCTTCAATATTGTTACCTAGATGTCTAGTGTTTAAAGACTCAAAATTTCCAACAGTAATAAACTAAATATACTACATCAAACTAAATAGACTACATCATTTACAAATACATCACATTATGCAATCATTAGTCCTTACGAGTCAGCATTTACTTAGAACCTTAAAATGCCATTTGATTTGATGTGCTACTGTGTCACAATATTGTGTAATTATCACTTACCATTTTAGACCTAGCAAGAACAGTTCTTTACTCCCTTAGTCACTGAACTAAACTGGCTTCTATCTGAAACAAGAGGTTACCTGACTGCTCCTGGGACATAACCCAACATGGTGCAACACTTAGAACAGCTGATCTTTTTACCTTTTTATTTGTGTCTGTCTCTATTAAGAGTTGCAGGCTATATTCATATATTGTAACAGGCTATATTCATATATGTATACAGTTTAACCACACCTACATCTAGTCAAAACCAGACAATCCCATTTTGAATTGTAACAATGTAAACCTAAGTTGGTATTTTTTTTATTATCAGCAACACAAGACATTTTCTGATAACAATCAGCTACCCTAATCTTTCTCTATCTACACATTGGACTATTATGAATGACTACTACAAATCCATTCCTAATGATGGGTCTGCATTTGATGTATACTCTATGGAAACCATTAATAGTACCAAAATTGGTGGAAATTAACAGTAGTTCAGTGTCAATCAATTGCAATAGCTATCACAGTATTAATTTATCAGCCCCCCCCCCCAAACTAAATCCTGGAAAACAAAGTATGGAGTGGAGACCCTGCAACAGACAATCCACACATATTTCCTCACCTAGGAAGCCATTTCCTTCTTATTTACCCCCAACAATTTCCTTGCTATACTCATATGTGGGGTTTCAGCACATTAATCCTAACATACATTAAATGTAAGGAATGTGAGAAATCCATTGGAACTAACTTTTGAACTAACTTATGGTTAATTGGTGTCATAGCCATAAATATCACATTCCTTGAGGTACTTTGTGACTAGAATCATTTTGATTTTAAGTGTTCAACACCTCTTCTACAAAAGCCAATACTGAGTGATAGTATGTCACACAGCTTCTGCACCTTGAGTACTAAGGAAAATGCAAAATCCAAAATCTTCATCACTCACATTCTATCAAAATTGAGCTTGGGCACCTGCTACTGCCCTTTGCTGGAGCACTAGCATGCATAGAGGCTGTTATGATCATGTAACAATCACCACTCAGTTGACAGACAAAGAGAGATAGAGAAAATGAAAGCTACCAAACATATATGATATGACATCAAGAATTTGTGTTAGTAATTCATTCCAAGTTCACAAAGCTTGCAATGAATTCACGAATTTAGTATCATTATCACAATCATGGTAAATTGTACAGTGAACACTGAGTCCTATTCACCATGACGGTCAAAGACCTGTCAAAAACTGGCACACTTTTATCCATAAGATACATCATCCCCAACTGTTCCCTTTGTAGGCTATCCTCTCCCTTAGCCAATCTTAGTCATGTCTTCATGCTTTTCTCTTCTTGTAAATGAAATACCTGTATACTATATAAATGCATCAAATGCACTTTTTTGTTTTCTAAGATAAAAAGATTATCTTATTTCTTTTTTAAATATTAATAGCAATATATCCTTACTATCACAATATGCAAAGGGTAACTACAATAACA